ATATATATATGTTTGAGTAAAATCAAAAGCCAGATTTTGTTGCCAGATATTGCAGATGGTGCTTTTTTAAAATAATTTTTACATTTGAACATTGACAAGGACAGCGTGGGGCAGACAATGAGTCAGTAAAATAATGCCTGAATGAAAACAGAGTAAGAGGAAAGAATACAGAATCAGAGAGGCCAGGTCGAAAGTAAAAAGGTAAAGTTCTTCTATCTTCTTCCGGAAAGAAACGACAACAAAAAGTTGTGATGACAAGAGTCAACAGGAGACATTTTTGTGCTGGAATATTCCAAATGAGAGCTTTTCAGTAACAGATTCTAATCAATCACTAAATAAAGATGTAAACAACGATGAAAAAGATTTGCTGTTTTTTTAACTTTATCTTTATAAAAACCCTGATGAGTTTTGAATTACATTAACTCTTAAACAAACATTTAATGATGTAGAAATTCTGTTAGAATAATAAAACATTTAAAGAAAAACATGGAAAAAATCACATTTTGACAGCTGTATACTTTTACATCTTTTTAATGAACTGTGGTTTTTCTCTGACTATTGATTGTTATTATTTTGTTTATTTTTTATTTGCTGTAAATCACTTTGTGTTACACACCGGTTGATCAAGGACGCTTTATTATAAAGTTGATCTGATCTCAACCATTTGAAGATACTTAATGCTTTAAAGAACAGTTTCTGCTTTTGGTAGCAGTCAATCATGACTCTTACGTTATAAAATCCATGAAGCTGGCCAGTGGCTCGTATGACTGGTTCCTCATGTGGCGAAACTCCACCACCATCTTCTCCTTGAGTTTGTCATCAATGACAGAAACTGTGAGAGGAGAAGCCTCGTTAGCCAGGAAGCTGCCATAGTCAGTGCTCTGCAGGTGAAGCTTCAGGTCTGCAGAGAAAACACACAGAAAAAAAATACAGATGGTCAGGACTGTTTTCCTCTACATACATTAGTCAATTTATGTCCTAATATAATTACACATTTCCTTTAGAGTAATTAAGTCCAAGTTTTCAACTTATCCTGACAGAAATGTTTAATTATAAGACATTTATTTACATTTATTACATTTTGTTTTGAGTTTTCTTTATGAATAATATACATATGATAATTTGGGGGCCGAAAACTTGTCCAAATGTGCGGTTCTTTTTTGATACTAATAATAAAAATGTCTCACTTCATGACTAAATCTTTGTCTTGCAGTTCTTAGCTAATTTGTCAGCCAATCCCAGGAATCATGTTTTGGTCATGTTATTTAACCTCAAAGTGCTGCCATAAATTTCTTTCTTCATTTGCCGCTGCAGAGGGTGAAGAGAATGTGATGTAGAATTAGGATGAAGAATTTAGTCTTGTTTACTTGACATTTTAGCGTGGAGCTCTTTGTTTCTGAACATTATTCAAAATGGAATAGTTCATACAGAGGAATCATATTGACAAAGGATGATAAAAAAGGCAGCAAACATTCAGAACAAACCGTTAAAATGTCTGTGAGCTTTTCTAAGAATCAAAATACATATTACACTAACACTAGCCTTGGAGAATTCACAAAGTTTAAGCTCATCATAGCACAAACTCAGTTTTTGCTCTAACAAGTCACATTGTTTCATTAGCACACATTTCATCAAAATGCTGCATTTTTTAATTTGTATTTCTTACTGGAAAAAAACAGTAACTTGTGACTAGCTGAGCACTTTATGTCAAACATCAGCAATGATGGTACACAAAATAACATAATTATAAACTAATAAAAATGTTTCCCCATTTAGGACTTTCTACTAGAACCCTAATGACAATATATACAACTTATTTTTCATCATAACTCCGTTATTGTACTTAAATTAACATAATGCTGCATATGATTAGAGACACATGTGGTTTTAGAAATACTAACTGAAATTTGACTAAGTAGATTGTACCCAAATGATATTTAGGTACAAGTTACACCGTACGTGTTTACTGTAAAACTTCATTAAAACACCCATTGCTTAACAGTTGCAAAAGCAAATAAAAGACAAGTAGTGGTTAAATATTTTACTGTCATAAAAAACTAAATAATATAGAAGCTGGTAGAAACATGTAAAAAGCTTCGGTGTTTTGTGAAACTGTGAACCAGTTCCACTTCCCTAAAAAAGCCCAACATGAGTAACGAAATACGTTTGGCAAATACACTGGCTAAATTACACAGCTAAGAAGCTAACTTTAAACACTGCAGCAACCTAAAAGATGTAATTCTAAAGAAATAATTTGATTTAGTCAGCAAAAATAATTCACGTCAAGCTTACCCCATAAAATAAAACCCAAAGGTAGAAAACATAGCGCTGCGGTTGGCTTAAAAACACAACATCTCAAACGTAACCCGAGTTAGGCTAAGCTAACTGGCTTCAATTAATGATAGCTTCTGTTAGCCGTTAGCTGTTAGCTCTATAGGACTCACCTTCCAGAGTCTCGCATTGAACCAGGTTTAAATAATCAGCTTGGGACAATATTCCAGCTTTGAACCCTCTAACCAGACCCTCCAGATATCCGTTATCGACATTAAAATACAGCTCAGAGAAAGGCATCCTGTCAGACCGTCAGATTTCTAGCTGCAGAAGGAAAACTCACGGCCGTCCGGCTAGCTTCAGCTGACTTAACCACGTGACCGTCATCTGATCAGTCACCTGCTTGTGTGTGCGCGTGCGCGTGCGCGTCCCCGCTGCTAAGGCACCCACTCTAACATGAATGTGAATAGTGTATTATTA